GTTTACCTGCTGCTGACCCACTTCTCCATAGAAACATCCCCCCAGCTGTTTCAGCTATCATTTATTTGCTCTTCTGCTCTCCCCCCAGTGATATGAAACCTTAATTGGCACACTGTGTATGTGTTCCACTTAAAAATGGAGAAATTGGGCCAGCCAGTGGCGTGGTGCTAAAGGCAGCTGGAAACGACATGGTTGACTGGCGGCTTTAAAATCACACTGGGCACATGTGAGCGCATGCCAAAATCTCAGGAGGAGAATGGAGAAGGGGTTGTGGTGTACCCATCCCCCCTGAGAGGGTGATTTCTCACTTTCCCATTTGGTCTCTCTCCAGCAAGTGTACCCTAGGGCAAAAACCTTACCAAAGGAAAGAAAGAAAGAAAGAGAGAGAGAGAGAGAGAGGGAGGGAGGGAGTGAGGGAGGGAAGAAGGGAGGAAGGAAGGAAGGAAGGAAGGAAGGAAGGAAGGAAGGAAGGAAGGAAATAAGGAAAAAAATGGAGAAATTGAGGCATAGAAAGGTAAAGTCTCCCAGGGTCACCAAAGCTCTTTAGTAGTAAGACTGGAATTCAAAGCCAAGTTTTGGTATTGGAAACAGTGACAGATGATTTGTTCCCCTGATGTGCAGAAAAGAATATCTCTTGGTAAAGGTCAACTCTCAGTAAACATTTGAGTCTCAGGAAAGGTGAGTTCCCCTGACTATTCTCCCACCATCACGAAAGGTCAGCTGCGAACCTTCGGAAACCATCTCCAATCATCCTATCCCACTATCCCTAATTATCCTATCCCTCTATCTCCAATGATCCTATCCCACTATCCCCAATCATCCTATCCCACTATCCCCAATCATCCTATCCCACTATCCCCAATCATCCTATCCCACTATCCCCAATCATCCTATCCCACTATCCCCAATTATCCTATCCCACTATCCCCAATTATCCTATCCCACTATCCCCCATTATCCTATCCTTGTGGTTTGGCAGTGCTGGGGGTCCCTCTCTATCCCCAATCATCCTATCCCACTATCCCCAATCATCCTATCCCACTATCCCCAATCATCCTATCCCACTATCCCCAATCATCCTATCCCACTATCCCCAATCATCCTATCCCACTATCCCCAATCATCCTATCCCACTATCCCCAATCATCCTATCCCACTATCCCCAATCATCCTATCCCACTATCCCCAATCATCCTATCCCACTATCCCCAATCATCCTATCCCACTATCCCCAATCATCCTATCCCACTATCCCCAATCATCCTATCCCACTATCCCCAATCATCCTATCCCACTATCCCCAATTATCCTATCCCACTATCCCCAATCATCCTATCCCACTATCCCCAATTATCCTATCCCACTATCCCCAATTATCCTATCCCACTATCCCCAATCATCCTATCCCACTATCCCCCAATTATATTATCCCACTATCCCCAATTATCCTATCCCACTATCCCCAATTATCCTATCTCACTATCCCCCATTATCCTATCCTTGTGGTTTGGCAGTGCTGGGGGTCCCTCTCTGATCGACTCCTTGGCTCCTTCAGCCAGTTCCTAACCTCCACTTCTAGCTCCTAACCTTCACTTCTAGCTCCTAACCTTTGGTCTATAATCCTTCCTTGTATATTTTCTCACAATGCCCTAGGGTAGCAGGGTGATGAGAGAGAGGGGATTGGACTCACCACTAGCTGGCCTTGGGCACATCACACACTACTGAGGAAGACAGCTGGTTAAGAGGTCCCCAAGGTCTGGTCTCATCCCTGCCATCACTTATACACAGCCTCAGTCTGTACCTGGCTCCAGTCTCAAGCCTGTGCCTTCCCATAACCTGCACCTCCACCTTTGTCTTCTCCTCTCTGACTGCCAGCCGGTTTCCCAACCAAACACCAACCCAGCCTATTGGGTTGTCAGAAGTCATGAGTAATTTTGCCTAGAAAAAATATGTCTTTGTTTTTCCAACAACCCAGTAGTGGAAGGGCTGACCCCATCCATTTTGTCACTTGCCAGGTCAGAGCAAAGCCCTATGCTGCTGCATCACCTGAATTCTGTTCTCATTTCTGAGCACTTGCACTGAGAGCTCCGCTGGGGCCCTCTCCTTGCACTCCCTCCGCTGGGGCCCTCTCCTTGCGTCCCCTCCACTGTTGCCCTCTCCTTGTGTCCCCTCTGCTGTTGCCCTCTCCTTGCATCCCCTCCACTGGGGCCCTCTCCTTGCATCCCCTCTATAGTCAGACCTCTGAGGTAGGTACTATTATGATCTGCATGACTTACCAAGGATTACTGGCCACTGCTCCTCATTCTTATATACTAGATTAGAGATAGCTCAAATTCTGCTAAATTTTTTTATTTACTTATTTATTCCATGAGTAAGAGAGACAGACACAGAGAGCACAGAGAAAGAGAAAGAGACAGAGATACAACACCCCCACGAGGTCTTGACTCCATTATTCACCCCCAGTCTCAGGCAGCCTTGGATCATGGACACAGCATGCCTGATGTACTTAGGGAGGTTTCTGGACACAAACAGGTAACCTTCCCGTGTGGGCCTGCCTTAAAGGGCATCAGGTTTTCCCACCGTCTAGCCCCTGATATTCTGCTCATCTTATAGATACAAGGAGTCTTCAAAAAGCTCAGAAAGGGGCCAGCATAGTGGCTTAGGTGCTGTACTCCCATGTGGTTGAACATAGGCTACCAGATATTACCTCATAGATTTGCTTGCTCAGTACCTATCTCCCCACTAAAATAAAAGCTTCACTGCCTACAGGCACCTCCTCTGTCCTGCTGGCAGTGTGTTCCTAGGCAGACAGCAGTGCCTGACACTTACAAGATGCTCGGTAAATATCTGTGGACAGTAGTCATGGCAACATTGTCTCATTTTCTCCTCCTAGCAACTCTGTGAGGAGGGCATACTACCTCTAAGCCACAGATGAGGAAATACATGCTAGGGGTCACTTGCCCAAAGTCATTCAGATGGGCAGTGTGGGGCGTGAGCTTCTAACCTAGGTCTCTGTCACTCCATCCCACGAACGAGAGTACAAGCACAGCAAGACTCACATGTTAGCTGTAAGCCCCCACCTGCACCCAGCCCAGGTGGGCCCATCATGCTGCTGGCATCATGTTCAAGTGCCCCAGAGTCATGCTGGAGGGCTGGGCAGAGGGAAGGGGTGCTCTCGGTTGCAGAGGGAGTGTTTCCCTGCAGTGGGCGTGTACTCTCATCCCCAGCCCGTGAGGATTCCCTTTGCTGGTTTCCATCCTCACAGCCCTGAAGAGCAGAGTCAGAGGCTGATGTAAATCTCTCGCTGCCTCAGCCCGATGAACGGTGGCCTTTCCAGCCACTTACTCCAGTAGCTCCTCAGGGCCATGGAATGGTGAGCCCACCCTGTCTAGCTCCTGTGAACAGAGAGGAAGCCTTTCTCTGCCCCAGGACTCCACAGTCCATTCCATAGCCAGCTTGCTCCAGTCTCTACGATGAGGCCAAGCAACACACCTACACTTCTCTCCCAGTCCCCGCTTCTCTACGTCTAAGCGGGTGTGCACCCAGAGCTTCCTTCCACTGCCAACTTCAGCTTGGAGCAACAAGAAAAAAAAGCAGGAATCCCGTTCTCACTGCCCAAGTCTGCTTGTGCAGGTTGACTGTCCTATGCCTTCCCCAGCCCCTCGGCCTCACACAGCTCATGGGAAATTTTATCCATTATTTTCTATTTAAAAATGGAACAGAGTTATCCCTGTGGTCAGGTGGTTAAGGGAACTGGATCTTGAATGGCTGGCCATGCAGTTTAAATCCGGGCCCCTCTGGCTTGAAAAACACACCAGATGTATGTGTGTCCCAACAAGATGGAGAAATGGAGCCCACTCTGTGGCCTGTTGGTTAAGGGAGCTGGTCTTACATGGCTGACCAAGCAGTTGGAGTCCCAGACTCAGTGGCTTGAGAAATATGGACGGCATGTGTGCAAGCATGCCCAAAATCCCCAAAGAAAGGCAAGATGGAGGAGAAGGGATTTCAGCGTGACGACTCCCTACAGTAGGGGGTGCTTGATCCTCTCTTTTCTCTCTCTCACATGCATAAGCATATGTGACCCTGTAACCAAAAAAAAGAAAAAAGAAAAAAAAAAAGAAAAAGAAAAAAAAAATCACGAAGAATGGAGGAAAAAGGATTATAGCATGACCATGTGCCATTGGGAGTGCTCTCGCTCTCGCTCTCTCTGGCAGGTGCACATGCTCTCTGGCAATTTTCTAAGAAGTAGAATGGTGTAAATTCCTTTGTCATGTCCACTTTCTTGATTTCTGCCAGGCAATCCCCTAACTTTGAAGAGGTCCCCAAGTGACCAGGCCCAAGTTGCTCTGGGCTTCACTAAGAGGCCCTGCAGTGTCAGTTCGCACCCACGGATGCCTATGAGGGGCATCCACCTAATGTTGCCATTCCACTGAGGCAGTTCAGTAAAGATGAATATTTCTAGACTCCTCCCTTTAACCTGATTACATTGAAGGACTTGTATCACTTTGTAATGCTGCTCTAGACGTTCAGTAAACAAGCAGTGAGCTGGTGTCCATGTTACTGAGGTCGGAACAGTGTCTGTGGGTGTTCAATTCTGCTGAATATTTAGAATAATGACATTGGTCTTATACATGCAGTTCCGACAAAGTCAGTGAAAATTCAAAGCCAAGTGGAGACTGAGTGACACATCTAAATATCTTCTTCACAGAATGTGAAGATCAAATATCCATTTCCTTTTTTTTCAGAGAATCTGAGGGATAATACTAAATAGGCTGCATAAATGAAAAACACAGATATGAATAAGAACATTCTTAAAAATTTAGAAATTGTTTTGGGTAATTTGCATATTTTGGACTCCAATATTGTTTATATCCTTGGTTCTGCGTCTTGGTGTGGACCATCGACCCTCTGAGAATCTGGTGAAAGCTTCAGAAAAATGCTTTTCTGCTTTTCAGAAAAATGCATGATTATACTTTTATATACTACTGGGAGATCTGAGATCTTCGCAAGTCCGTGATGGACTGTGGATCTGTAGTCCTTCTCAATGCAGGGGCCAGAAGGTGGTGCAGTGGTCGTACAGCACGGTGCCATGCTGGACTCACGTGAGAGGGTCCAGGGTTTGCATTCTGAGGTCTTCCTTACATGCAGGGGTATCCATGCCTGTAATCTAGACTGGCTCAGGCTGGGGGAGCATCATGGTGTGAAGACCCTATTAAATATGCCTCTCTCTCTCTCTCTCTCTCTCTCTCTCTTTCTGTCTTACTCTCTGCAGAAATAAATAAATACACTTAAACAAAAAACAACTTAGGACATCCCCATAATGTAATGGTTAAGTGCTGTGCATGAAAAGCTGATTCTACATGGCTAACCATGGTTCGAATCTTAGCTCCAGTGGCTTGAAAAACACATGGATTGGGGCTAGCATGTGGTGTAGAGGTTCAGGTGCTAGACTCTCACATGGCTGACTATGGTTTGAGTCCCATATCTGGTGGCTTAAAAATTATGTTGGGCATGGGTGCCCAAGATCCCGAGAGGAGACTAGAGAGAAGGGATTGTGGCATGGCCATCCTCCCTGGGGGCTGATTTCTCACTTTTCCTCTCTCTGTTTCTCTCTGTCTAACTCTGAGTGCACGTGTGCCCTATGGCAAAAAAAGAAGAAGAAAAGAAGGAGGAGGAGGAGGCGGAGAAGGAGGAGAAGAAAAACACCAGGATTTTGTGTGCATGTTCTAAGTCCTGATGGGATAGAAAAATGGAGGAAAAAGGACTGTGACATGCCTATGTCCCATTGGAGGGCTTTCCTCTCTCTTTGACTCTCTTTCTCTCTGGAGAGCTCATGTACCTTCTGGCAATTAAAAACAAAACAAAAAAGAATCCTCAATATACTGCTTTTGTGACATTATGTGTAAGGGAAATAGTAGAAACAGTCTTCCCCTGGCACTACTGAGACTTGTTTCCAAAACACAGATGGATGGGATGATCCGCTCCTTGGAGAGTCGCCCACCCTGTTAATGTGGCATTCAAGGCACGTCACGACCTCCCCAACTCGGCTTTCTTGCCTCAGCCCTGGCTCTCTTCCTTCACTGTCCCGGCTCTTTTTTTTTTTTTTTTTTTTTTTATTTTCTGAGCACCCCACATACTTCTACTCCTCTGTCCCTCTGACCAGGACGCCACTAATTTCCTCTGTTCAGAAAATTCCTTCTCCTCTTTCCAGACATAGCTCAAATGTCCCTTCTGGTGGAAACTTTTCTGGTTTTCTTTCCACCTTATACAGCAGAACTCATCACTGTGTGCTCCTCGACAGCGCGGACAAGCCCGTCCCTGTACTGATCAAAGTTAGCTGGATGTATTAAACGCATTCCCTTTGCAGCCTCAAACCCTGGCACCACACATGGAGCATAGGAAAGACATGATTAACTGCTTCTGAATAGAAAATACAGTGGAGTTGACAAGTAAATCATTCACATTCAGATTTCACTCTGCACACCACCTTCCTGCCATAAATCCAGAACTGTAGTGAAATCCAGTTGCTTTGCTATTTAAGCCCTGAACCCTTTGACATAGGGCATTTCAGAAGATTTCCATAGCAGTCTGCATATGCAAACATCTTACAAGGAAAGATACAAATTGATACTAATTCACCTTAGCAGTTCATTTACATTGTGCTGGCCTGAAAATCCTTATATTTATTTAATGCCTGGAGTACTAGTCTTTCATTCACAAAGCTCAAATAAGATGAACAGACGCCTCTAGAACTTTTCAAATATTTTCTATTCAGGCTAAACAAACAAAAACCATTTCACAAGAAAAGCATGACTTTGTTTAAATCAGTGCTAAGTTAAAATGAGGGCTAAAACCAAAGACATTGCACAGTGACATGTTTAAATTTGGAGTCCCTAAAGGAAAATAAAAATCAAAAAGATCTTCTCACTCTTAGTTTGTAATAAAATATAAACCAGCCTTTGATGGAAGGCAGACACTTCCTTTCATGGGATTGGTCTCCAGGCCTACGGGTGTGTGTCACATTAAACAGACAATGTTCACTGTCACATAAATTCTCTGCAGGGCTTTAAAAGACAAAGAAATTCCTCAGTTTATTTTCTTACCTCGGTCCTAGGTTTCTGAGCCAAGAAAGCAACCTCTCAACTGCTTTTCTATTTTTTTTTTTTTTTTTTTAGAGAGAGAGATTTTTGTTATAGGGCACATGTGCTCACCAGAGAGAAAGAGAGACACAGAAAGATATCCCCCCCACCCCAGGGGAGGGGATGGCCACACCGCAATCCCTTATCCTGCATTCTCCTTTCAGGATCTTGGGCATGCACGCACATGCACCTGGCGTGAGTTTAAGTTGCTAGGTCCAAGACTTGAACTGTGGTCGGCTACGTGGGAATCCAGTGATGTAACCATTATACCATCTGCTGGTCCCTCCCATTTTTTGATGGCAGTTAAAAATGTTCCCAAATATATTGTCAGCATTCACTTTCAAAGTGTCATGAGTCCCTCTTCGTTTCCAACGTTGTTAAGTACCTGGTCAGGTCTCCCATCCGTCAGAAGGTAGATTACTTGTGTTTCTCTATCAGCAAAAGCAATCTGCAGGGCATCCAGGGTGTTTGTGGAACTTCCAGTCTGTGAAAGAGAGTGATACCGAGGACACACTTAAATCTCAAAAAAGATCTCACAAAAAAGTGATATTTATTTTCTATTCCTGTACTTGTGAAATAAAATATAAATAAAAATTATATTAAGCTAATAATTTAAGCCCAGTGATTTAAAAAAAAAAATCCCTTGATGGACCATTAAATCTCTATGTAGGCAGCCTAAGAACTGCTAGAAGCCAGAACTGTAGATTTCCTGTCTTGATGACAGAGATTTCTTTCTTTTTTTGGGGGGAGGGGGCTGTATTTTTGCTATAGGGAACATGTACTCGCTGGAGACCTAGAGATGGAGAAACAAAAAGCAAGAAATCACTCCCCAAGGGGGATGGCCATGTCACAATCCCTTCTCGAGGGATCTTGGGCACGCACACACACACACACACACACACACACACACACACAGTATGAGTTTTAAGCTGCCAGATCCAGCACTCAAACTGCAGTTGACTACATGGGAGTTCAGTGATGTAACCTTTGCATCATCTGCTGATCCTGATGATAGGGATGTTAATGTAATTTTATCTTTGTGTGTTTCTTTGTGAGATGCTAACTCATTTACTGATCACTCAGCTGACAACGGAGCTTAAACATGCAACCCAAATATTCCCTGGTGAGGATCATGTTTGTCTCAAACCAGGATTTACTCATGACGCCCGATATTTAGTGAGTGTGGTATCATTAGCAATCAAACGATAGCCATACCGACATAGCTAACATAACGTGACTCCATACTGGTTCTGGTGAAACACATACCTTCAAATGCATGAACACACTTTTAGGTCTTATGTGAATGTGGTACTGAATGAGAGAATTTAAATGTTCTCATTTACATATGTGAGAATAAAAACTAAGTAACAGTTTATAAATAACCGTTAAATAAACAAGTTAAGGCCCATGCTCTCTCCTATACATAACATCAATTGTACTGCTAACTACAGCTCGTATATATATATATATATTTTTTAAATTAGACACACATAGCATGTCAAAGGAAATAATTGATACATAGATTTTTAGCAATCTTTCAATGACATTAAACAATTATAAATTAGAAAATCTTTTAAACATTTCATCAGTGTAGAAAGGAAATGACTTTTAGGTAAATGTAAATTTACTAGAATATATTCTCCTTAATAGGCAAAAGTAATCCTTAACAAGAGACTGTCATGTATGAAGAACCTTAAAAGAACTCATGGAAAATGCATATTATGGAAGAACTATGCATAGGCTTCAAAATGTTTTTGCACCAGAAGGAGCCCATACTTCAATTACATTTTCCACAAACTTAATGGAATTCCATCATACAAAACTTTGAGTTACCCACAAGCCTCCTTAAACCTCCTCCTCATCTCAGTCCCCATGTGTCAGTCCAGCTTTAATTATAAGCAGGGAGGAATTTATGAAAAGAACATCTGGATGGCTCACAGCATCAGCAAAAAGGCAGAAGAAACTGGCTTGGAATCTTGCCCCAGGAGCAAGGTCCCCAGTCCTGCAGACCTGCCTGGTGGGGCTCCACAGCAGAACTGCTATTGAGCATCGGGTCCTGCACCTTGCCTTGCCAACACTTGGAGTTTCAGGTGGGACATGGATCTGTGCCCACTGCCACTGCCACCACAGGAGCTACGTCAATCTATATTTGGTACCACTGACACAGTTATCCCTGCCAGATCCACCATCTGGAGTCACATTCTCAGTTCAAAGCCTAGTTAGTCTTCTTTTATTTAAGACTTTAAAATTTTTTTTAATTTATTATTACTATTACTATTATTATTTGTTCAATTTGACCAGAGAGAGATAGAGAGATAAAAAGGGAAAGTGAGAAAGCAAGCCACCAGATCTGGGATTCACGTCGGTCAGCCATGTGGGAGTCCAGGACCTTAACCATCACACCACCTGCTGGCCCCAAAGCCTAGTTATTTTGATTGGTGGTGCCTGAGTCACCTTACTTGCACCCTAGCTGAAGGGAAGCCAGAACCTTCAACCTCCATAGTATGAACAGGCTCAGGCACCCATACCAAGAATCAGGATAAGAAGGAAGAGAGGCTAATGGCCAAAGGGATGACAAATGTCCACCACATAGCTAACCCTCTCCCCAAGACTGCTCCAAAGCCTTATCACATGCCACAGATGCCCTCCCCATTAAGAGTCTCCAGATCCAACTTGAACAGATTCTATGCCCTGACCCACCTCGTTACTCTCTCCAGGCTCCTTCATTTGAATTTATTCCCTTTAATTTCAATAAATAATTCATAAGCACCTAGGTACCACATGCCAGGCATTTTGCTTCATCTGGGACATAACTTACAAAGACAGACCAAACTCTGTCTTAAGGGAGTTTCACAAGACAGTGCTGGAGGCCTAGAAAACCACCATCAAACACCGTGCTAAAAGCTATAAAGATTATGCCTCACACAGATCTATAATATCTTACTCTACCTGGGCTGGCAGCTAAAGACATCTCACAGCAGAGGTGGTACAGAAGACTATCAAATGATGTTATGATCACAGGCAAACACAGAAAGGAGGGGCAGCACTCTAGATTCCAAATTGTTTCAAGTTAGCAAGCAGTTCTATACCTGTAAAGCTCATATTACAAGGCTAGAAAAATGATGAGGGTAGCTATGATTAAAAAAAAAAATCGGGCCCAACTTCCATGGTACAGTCAGTAACATACTGAACTGCAGTGCTGGAAGCCATATGGTCAACCATGGGTTTGGATCCTGCCCAGGTGGAGGTAGGCTCCATACACTGAGATCTTCTCCCCCATCCTCTCTTCATCCTATCTCCTTGACCAGCAGCCAGTCTGGCTGAGCCTTGTGAACATCTCACGGCTGTCCCATTACCTGGAATTGGCTCATGGTTGGGGCTGTTCTGGAGGTAGGCATCCTTTTCCCACCTCAACATCCCAAGATCAGATGTACTAAATTAATAAACAAGCTTCGGTGGTTCTGCTCATCAATACCCTGACCTTTTATTGTAACCTTCAAGGATATATGTAGAAACCAGACCCCTGCCTTGGAGACAGGGAACTTGTGCAGATCTTACAGGTGATGTACGCACTCTTTGATCTAAACATACATAACCAGTGCTCGATGACAGCAGGGATCATTCTCCACCAGGCCATCAGCAGAGCACCCAGTCCTGCTTATGTATGTAAATAAATTCATGTCTTCACTTGCTGGACCTCCACGCATGTCTTTGAAATCCATAAATTTACAGGCAAGCCCTTTCAGATTTGGGGCTCCCCCAGTTCATCAGGGTGACCTGAAACACAATGGGGGAGTGCACACGTGGCCAAGAGCCTGAGAAGCTGATGGCTGGTGGAAGGGGATTGCAGCAAGATGAGATTCCGTTAGGGTGCTTTTCTTTTCCTCTCGCTCTCTCTCTCTCCCATGTGCAGGCACTCTATCATAAATAATACAGATAAACTTAAAAAGCATCTGAGTACTTGGTAGGCTGAGAGTTCTTTTCCTGTATCTCTCACCTTGTGGCATAAGGATAGCAACAACAGGCAGCCTAGGTTCATGCTGTCTACCCCTGCAGACAGAACCAGGTAGGAGTTAAGTGGGAGCCCCAACAGAAGAGGGCTCAGAAAACTAAACTTATCCCTGGAAATAAAACCCACAAATGTGAGCCAGAATTAATATGCTAAATCTAAACAGTGACTACTGACTGCCTACTAAATGAGAAGATTTAAATGAGAATCATCTAATACAATAACCGTATTTTCCACGATACAATTAAAAAAAAAATACTCATCATACCAAGACGCAGAAATACCACACTTGAATGAGAAAAGCAATCAGCTAATGCTAATACCAACAAAGACTCAGAGATCTCTGAAACAGTAAACAAAATCTAATATTCACACTACCCAATTTTCAGGAAAAAGAGAGCGGGACTTAAAAACTATTCAAGAGGTAATGGTTGGGGCCAGCAGGTGGCATGGTGGTCAAGGCACTGGAATCCCACATGGCTAATTGCAGATCCAGTCCTTACCTGGTGGCTTGCCT